CTCCTATATGGGTGTAGCACTGACACCATTAATCCAAGCCCTATGCAACGAACCAATCACAGATGCATAATGTAAATGCATGAGGCCTGGGGACCACTGACATAAACCATGACAGGTTCACATGTTTATATACCATATTGCATCCTAGCATAAAGAACTGAAAGTGTATATAATACATTAAGTCTACAATAGATATTGTGAAAGGCTAAAAATCTGCTCAAAGAGGTCTATATATCTCTCTTTTGAAGAAAACAATATGCACTGTAACAACCATCATTAAATTCCTGTCGTCCTGTTTTGAAATCCTATATTGCTGTAGTGTTTGGGTGTTTGTTGCTGTTGTCTATTTGTTTCTGTTGTTTTTGTTTTTATGGCTGTTTATATCTTTAAAATAGAATAAAATAATACTAATTAGAATTAGTGAAAAATCACAAGATGTAACAAATTAAAAATCTCTTTTGACATCAACAATATCAGAAAACTCCCCAAGTTCAGGGAAAGAAATAAAATCATAGGTTAAAGAGGTATTTGGAGCTCAAAATGTGTCTCCAATACCTTCCATTAACATTAGGTGACTCAAAATTTTGTTTTATATGAGTTCTTTATTCTCTTCTACTTGTGCATCACTCTGCTTATGTGATTATCATACTTGAAATATTTTGTTTGAAATATTATGTTCAGTATCTATTAAAGTGAAAAATAGTATCTACAGGTTCATTTATTGTGCTCAAAATTTGTTATTTCCAACCTCCTCTAGCTCCATATATATTTTAGGACAGTTTTGTCTAGTACTTGAAAGACTTTGAAGCCTATGCCAGGCATCTGACATTTGCCACTAGAGGAATAAAGATCTATTTCTAACTGTTCTCGTGACATGTGTGGTTCTGGGTCCTTCTCTGGAGTTACCAGTTGGGAGCTCTGAATCATTTTCAGTTTAATGCAGTTCTTTAGTCTGGAAGATGCAAAGCTAATCAGCAGTTTGAAGGTACTGATCATATAACTACTGCAGGACATTAGGGGAGCTTCCTTTCCACCAGTGCATCACAATTTGTGCCTATGCAGCATCAGGGATATGCTCTTCCTAGTGCATCTGGCTGTTTAGGTAAGGATAGGCTATGGCCAATAACCCTACAGTCTGAGGCTTTTTACCATCATCCACTCCTACCTGGCATTACTGTTTGGTTACAAAAATTAGTCTGCAGACATGGCTCTATGGCCACACCACTCTGAATATACTTGATCTCATCTGATTTTGAAAGATAAGCAACGTCATTTCTGCTTAGCACTTCTATGGAAGACTGGCTTGGGATAGATGAATTGTCCTCAAGTCATCATAAGATTCCTTTGAACTTCACTCAATCCATATGTCACCCAGTCCTACACTAAGTCGTACATTCTGAGTTGAGTTTCTCCAATTTGAAGCCATTTTCATTAATATTTTCCACTTAAGGGAGCTCAGAATGGACAATCAGCCTCAGAAATACATTCATTCTAGATACCTTCTACACTTGCATTAGCACACAAAGAATGTGAGCAACTCAAATGAAACCTTCCTCTCTGGCTACAACATATCTTCAGTTTATTTTTGCCAGTATTTTGTACCTACTGTATTGTCTCTTTCTTCTTTATATAAGATGTTTTTGAAAAATGTGATGAATTTCCAAATTAAAATATGTTTATTGTTATAAAGACACATTGGCATTAATGTCCCTCAAAGGAGTCCTCACAATTATTGTTTCATTTTGGGGCCATGTATTTCATATTTTATGTAATTTCTAATCGGGAACAATCTTTATTTTTCAACTAAAGTCCATAATTTTCTATGTGTTGCTTGTGAACTCATAGTAACAATTTACAAAAGCATTTACCTTCTTTTTTATTTTAAAGAGATTAAGACAAAAGAGGACATAACAAAGCAGATCAGATAAGAACAATACAAGTAACACAACATTTTACCACAAGACAACCCATAATTAACAGTACCTACCATAATGTCTCTTTCTTTGAAATAGTTGAGCATAGCTTCATAGATGATAGTATCAAGTAAAACAAAACAGTATAAAATCATTCAAGACAATGAAAGTATTTTTCAGAACCAAGTAGTAGAGAATGAACAATGGCTACTATATAATCTCATTTTCCATAGGAAATTTGCTTATACTATCACACATAATAATATCCAATAAGATATAACAGTATAGAACCAATTTTATTAGATTTCCTGACAGAATTTCAATATTAATTGCCATTCAACTGCATCAGAAAGTTAAATTAATGGATGTACTTGTGTTGCTTAGTCCAGTGGTGTTGACAATTGTAGAATTATGTTCTTATTTTTACTAGTGTCTCTTAAAATCCTTCTCAGATATTCTTGTCACTCTATATTGCTCTTCTAATAATATAAATGTTAGGACCATGCAGTGAGATAAGAAATAACATGTTACTAGATCTTGGCCAAAAAAATGTTAGGAAAGCACAGGTTATGCTGAGATTGGCTCACTCCCATTCTCTCTCATATAGGACTCAGCATTTCCTGACCCATTTCATGAGGGACATGTCTCCCTGCAATTGTCAGAGAAAAATAATAGCCTCTACAAAAGTTTAGTATTCCCTAAAAAGAAACTTGTAAATATTGTTGACATCCACCACCTGGGAAAATATAGCTGTCAGAATTGATCTCAACTCCCCAAGCTAGCATACTCATTGCCACTGCAGATGAAGTGATAATTACAGGTCTGAGGGGAGGTGAAGACACAAAATCACAGACCCATATATCAGGTGCCAACTGCCCCTTGCAGAATTAATCTTGCTCATGGAGAGAGGAGAGTGTCACACAGTGATCTCCAACCTGGCAAAGTGATGCAGCTTGGTGAGTGTTTCATATTGCAATTTGGAAGGCAGGGTTAATAAGGGAAAACTTATATGAAGAATATAGATAATCACCCTGGAGTCAGGGATTCTGAATTAATCCTGGCTGAATACCAAAGCTACACAGGGAGCAGACACTTTCTTAGTAATGGGCTCAGAAAGTAAAAAGAAATGAGGTTTCTATAACTTCTGCTGATCATTTATATTGTCTAAATTAATGTGTTCTTCACTAGCAGTTATTTTGTTGTGTAGTTTATGTGACATTGCAGCTTGATATTTAGCATGCTTACTGAAGTTGCTCTAATTGATAAAAACATTCAATTACAATCAGAAAAGCCAAGACAATCTAATGGAGGACTGTGTCAGTAAGGCTGTATTATTTACCTGAAAGTTTATGAATGAGCAGGTTTTAAACTCCTTTTCAATACATAGGCCAACATCCACACAGAGAGACAGATGCAAAATATATGTGTGTGATGGATGTGTGATGAATTTGTTATAATAGTATATGAACTGTGCATATATATTATTGCACTTTATAACATTGAAGTGCATAATTTTCCAGTGAATCACTGCAATATTTTCTTCACTATACAAAATAGGTAACCAAAAAATATATGTGTGCTATTACTTAAAAAGTAAAAATTTAAAATTGCTGTTCTAAGAAATCATAAATACACTTTTCAGGATTATAACACTGATCCTATGATTTATTCATATCTATAAAAGTATGATGATATCCCAAGACAAATAATATCCTGCACAGGAAGTGAATCAAGCAATTGGACAATCAAGCAATATAGAAAGATTTTTCTCTCACTATAGGTGTAACATCTAACTCAATGAGACAGTCATCATATTTTTTCTAAAAGTGTTCAGTATGTCTAGTGTATCTGGCATTTTCTCTTAAATTTAGGGTAGCAACATATAAGAAAAACAGTATAATCAATGTTGCTTTCCATCATTTGTTGGCAGTTATAATTACTCTAATTTTCACGTACTTCAAAACCTTCTCATGAATTGTAACAAGCCACCCTGAATTGCAATTTCATGGAAGATGTGCATGTAGAGGGAATATCTGTACTGTTTTTAAAATTAGCTTTGAACAGAATACTAACTCTTATTAAATGAATGTTAAAGTATATATTGCACTATAACAGACCCAAAACAAACCCAAATCCGCTCCTTTAACATATACACAAATAAGTTTCCGTGTCTTTCATTGCCATTTTGCTTCTTTCTGTGTATTCTGCTTCACAGACCTTGTTTCATTGTTAGTAATTTCAGTTATCTCATGGATCTGGCAGTGAATAAGTAAATGATATGAAATCAATACCCAGTTTGTCTCTATCCTATAATCTTGTAGACTATATTGGCTTTACATCCCCAAATTTAGTGTATGACATGATTTTTGAGGAGTTCCTTTAACAGGAATTACTGTGTTTGGTTCATAACTGAGGAAATTGAGTCATTAAGCAGTATTCCTGGCATCACTTTTTTCCTTATTGCCCACAGCTTATCCAGAATCTGCTTCCTGCCACAGGAAAGTCCCTCAGTGCACCTATATTTTTTAAACATTGAAATAATCACTCATAAATGATGTTGACCAGAAGTATGAATGTTCAAACATAAATGGAAATGCAACATCAAATATTATGAAAGAAGGTAGCAGGGAGATATAAAAAAAACCCAGATATATTTTTGGATTCCTTGTGGAATGCACTGATACAGCTTTTAAGGAAGCATGGATGTTCTTCATGTTATCACTCAGCCAGGAGTAAGGTGATCCCTAACCTTAATCAAGTCATGAATTTACACAATTACTTAACCTCTCTGTGCCTAAGATTTACTTATCTTTCTAGTTCCTCATTTTACTCATGCTTGCATCATAGATGGTGAAAAAACAATTAGCCTTCATGACTGTCCACTTCCCAACAGAAATTTACAATTAAAAAGGTCTTTAACTGTATAAATCTGGTATTGGAGCCCTCTCAAAAGGAAAAAAAAAACAGGACATAGTTCTAGATGGGAACCAATGGCAGGTGGAGATTTTGGTCTATGTGACCTGGTACATGCAGCCATTGCATCTGCCCTTGCAGGGTCCTCAGCTCAGACAACAGGGAATGGGCAGGATGTCAGCCAATGAAGTTGTTGTAGGTGTCATCTTCTTATCACAAACTGTGATTGGGGTTCTGGGCAATTCCTCTCTTCTGTACCATTATCTCTTCCTTTACTTCACTGGGTGCAGGTTAAAGTGTACAGACCTGATTCTTAATCACTTGATTTTTGCCAACTTCTTAACTCTCCTGTGTAGAGGAGTACCCCACACCATGGAAGCATTTGGTTGGAAAGTTTTCCTTGGTAATGTGGGGTGCAAACTACTCTTCTACCTACACAGAATGGGTAGAGGAGGGTCCATTGGAACCATCTGTTTCCTGAGTGTCTTCCAGGCCATCACCATCAGCCCCAGGAACTCCAAGTTGGCAGAGTTTAAAATGAAGGTTTCCAAGTATGCTGGCTCCACTTTGTGCCTCATCTGGGTCCTGTACAGCCTTGTAAATGTTATTTTTCTTATGTACATGACTGGGAATTCAATGAAGGAAAATCACACAGGCCTAAAATATCATGCATACTGTTCCAGTGTTCGTCCCGACAAAACTGCAGAGTCATTATATGCAGCCCTGCTGTCCATCCCTGATGCTTTGTGTGTGGGGCTCATGCTCTGCACCAGCAGCTCCATGGTTTCTGTCCTGTACAGGCACAGGCAGCAGATGCGATGGATCCACAGGACTAATGTGAACCCTGGATCTTCTCCTGAGTCCAGAGCAACCAAACACATTCTTCTCCTGGTCAGCTCCTATGTTTGTTTTTACACACTCTCCTGCATCTTTCAAGTTTTGTTTTCTCTTACTTATAATCCCAACATTTTCCTGGTGAACATATGTGCCATAGTTGCTGGGTTTTTCCCATCTGTCAGCCCTCTGCTGCTGTTGAAGTGTGAATGCAGAGTATCCAGGTTTTGCTTTGCCTGTATAAGGAATGGAAAATCACCTATGTATATGACAAATGGGTAAATTTTTAAGTTTTTGCATTATTGGGCTTTTTGAATCATCCAACAGAATTATTGACACATATATTCACATTACATGAGGATACAGGTTTAAACAACTATACTTGTGTATAAGATATCTATGTGTGTATACATTTTAAGTTCAAGTAAATTCTCTATAACAAACATCTTCTTCATGGTTGCAAATAATACTAGTTACAACAGAAGTAAGCTGGTTTACCATATACTTTGCTTTATATATTCCTGCATTTGGTTGAAAAATTTGATCAAATTAATGACACATTTTTTATTTATCTATTTTTATGCTTGCGTATTAACTAGTCTTGTTTAAGAAAGATACAGTCAATTTAGCAACTGAAATAACCCTTAAAATTTTCATACAGCAGTGGACATATCTGGGCAGTTATCATCAACCTATTTTGTCATTGTAATCCTGGTTAAATTTTCTTTGCTGACTTGTATTATGTTAATTTATTTTCATAAAGGTACATTTTATTGTAGGGAGATTAAATGTAGGGTCTTATTCATGGATGTTGGCAAGTGTTCTACCACTGAAGCACACTCCTTTCTGCTCTGTATGTTCTTTTAGAAAACTTGTCAGTACATGACGTTAATACTTTTTTAACTGTTCACAATGATATTAGATACTCATGAATTTTTCTTTAAAAAATGTATTTTAAAAGGAATAAAAAAGCAATAAAATGGAGCAAATCACTGGTATTGTTCAGACAAATGATTGCAGTTGTCTTTACTCTGGGAGAATGATTTAAAGGTAACATTTTACAATGTATGTACCATAGTTGTCCCTGATTGATGTGCTTTGAAATTTTGTTGTAGATTTTTATCTTAATTTCATTCTTTTTCTATCTTAGAATAAAATGGATTTGAAAAATGTAGAACAACAAGTGAGAAAAATATGGGATTTCAAAAACAACACAAAAGGAAATCCACGATAGTTGCAATATTGCATATTGTTATTCTGTAAATGGATGATCATACTGCCAGTTTTATGTCTGCAATATCAATCAAAGTACTCTAACATTAAAGTTTCTTTTAACTACACTTGCTGTCAACTCAGACTGTGTTCCTCTAAATCAGCCAGTTACTTATGGGGTGGTAGCAGGGAGCTTTTCGTGTCTCCCAGCCTACACCAAAGATGCCTGACAGGAGTGCATGTCTTGGCTTCTTGGTTCACCTACCAGCCCACAACTGCCACTGGCTCACAGGAAGATGCAGGTCAGCTTCATGCTTGATCTCCTGGACTGCCTGGCTACTGCTGGCTCACAGGAAGTGTTGCATGGCTTCTGACTTTTCTCCCAAACCCTCAACTCCCATTGGCTAATGAGAGGCCAAAGTTTGGCCTCTTCATTCTCCTCCTGCCCCTCTTGGATGCTTCTGGCTCACAGGAGGGCACATCTTGGGTTCTTGGTTCATTACCTGGTCACTGACAGTAAGTGGTTTATAGGAGGGCACAGATATTTCCCTTTTAACTGCTACTGTGGTGAATGTCAGTTTTCACAAAGTCTTGGGTAAATTTCCACTCAAGTGATGATCTCATTTTCACAAAAATATAAGTAGTTTTCCTGCTTTATGACTATTTGAAATCATATTTATATAAGGCCTCTGAGATTGTGTCATTTATTTTTATTTAAAGCATAAAACTTTAAAGTTGTCATCTACAATCTACTCATAACCAATTTGTTATGCACTCGTGGTAATTTGAGCCTGTCTTTTCAATCTATTAATAAATTTAAATTTATTTTGAAAATATAGCATTGGTTTTCTTTGCTTCTCAATTCCACTCACCAACACTGGTTAATGTCACTTCTCTGATTTGGCTTTCATGATAAGTCTCCTGATCACTATATCTGTCCTTTGTTCTTTGTCTTATCAGAGACAGTGAACCATACAGTCAAGGCCAGTCCTGATGTTAAAACTCCACAGTGGATGAGGGTCAAGGAAGATTAAGAAATTGAAAGCATGATGATTCTTTCAGCCACTAGACAGGAACTACACTGTCAGAACCTGTCTACATTGAGCACTGTGGAACCCTGGAGCACATCAAAGGTCTGAAACTTCCAAACAAAGCTGTGCTAGTAAATTAATGTCATTTCTTGCATTTATAGCTCTTAGCACTGAAACAGCTGCCCTACCATTCTTGATGGCACAGGGCCACCTGTATGTTCTTCTGGAGCAGCCTGCCTACATCTTCTAAGATCATTTGTGGTTCAATTGGTAGGACATTGTGTTCTTACTGCCCCTTCTAGACTTGGCAGTATTGCCCTAGAGTCTGATACACACTCCTAGAAGCCTCCTGGCACTATTATAAACCACTCCTGTTTTCTGAGATTACAAAGGCCAGTGTCTCTCTTTTACATTTTTACTAAGTCTTTCTGTTTGCTTTACCACTTCTGTCAGGGAGCCATTTAAGGTCTTTAATATTTAAAAGTACTTTCAGATTTAGTGGAATTGAGAACATAGTTATACGTGAACAACTCAAGAAGAAACACTGTAAGGGCCTCAGTCCTTACCTATACACTTCAGATTGATGACCAGTCTTTACATCTCAGTTTGTAGTATACAAAACATACATTACATACTCCAAACAATAATCAAGGAAACAAAATTTCAATTTGAGGAAGGATTAGATAATATGATTTCCTGAATTCTATTTTTCTTATACTATTCATAAGTCCAGTTTCCAATTAAGGAAAAACATACAAAATAATTGAAAAGAGAAAAGGAAATAAAACACCCAGAAATCATATAGATAAACAAGAAAGTGGTTTAATCAAAAGCCAAAAAAAAACATTTCTCCATGGTGTGCAGAAATTACCATTCAGAGCATGCCCTCAAAGTATCTAACAAGTGATGTCAGAGTCCACATGAGTACAGTGATAGAGTAACTGAAGTAGACCCTGAGCAAGATAGCAAAAAGTTGGCATGGAGAAAATAAGCAACAAGAAGAAGCAATGAAGCTGTGAGTAAGTTCAGGTTCTATGCAATATAATTTGAAGACTCTGTTGCTCACAGTATTATGATATCAAGTTTTCTCTCCACCTGGACACTGCCCAGAATCTGTGATAATGACAGCAAGCAGATAGTGGGATAACAAAGGTGATGCAAATACCTGGTCTAGAGACCTTGACACCCGTGAAATGCAAACATTTCTCAGGGTAAAGAGCCAAAAGGGTAACCACAGGTGGACACTCATCCAGGGGCCATTGTCCACAATTCAGGCAGAGCTACTGTCAACGGTGTCTACCACAACTGGATATTTTTCTATCACAGCTCTTGTGGATATCAGAAAATATCACTCACACTTAGTAAAACATAGAAATACTCATGATTTTTAATCCTGAGAAAAATCTCATTATTCATTGCACTAAAAGAAGAGTTGTGTATTTGTGTAACACAAATTGTCATTAATAAAATTTCACCAATTAGTAATGTGATTTTGAAAAAATGTGGGTTGTACAATAAAATCAGCTGTAAAAACTGTGGTAGTTTAAACTGGGAGTTGTGACACACAATTGTAATCCCAATATTTGGAAACGTGATGCAGGAGGAGTGCTGGAACTTTTTGGCCTGCCTGGCTACAATTAAGTTCTAAGCTAGCTTAACTGCATAGTGAGACTCTGTCTACAAAAAGACCAAAAAATGTCGACTATGTAGGGACCTATGTAAGGTCCCTATGTAAGGTCCCTATGTAAGACAGACTCAAAAGACCCAATTTAAAACAAAACTCAATTCTCAAACTTTCACTAGGCAGTGTCTGTTCATTCATTTCTAATTTTATAGGCAGTTACACAATTTACAAACACCATAGCCTGGGAAGCAGTGATTCATGGGAAACACTGGTTGACAGCCCCTGTCACTCCTTGGTCTCTTGGTCACATTCAAGTCACATGAAGCTTGACCCTTTGTATCCCCCACAGGTCAGGAGATCTTATTTCCTGTAAGGTTCCCAAATGAGGAAAAAACTCTTCATAGAGGACACCTAGAATTGGCCTTCATTTAATACATGAAGACTCTGGTCAAGAGAGATACACTTCACAGTTAGGCTGTGAGTAGGAAATCTCTGGCCCCTGGAACTCTGCCAGCCCTTGTCATATCTCATGGAGCCAGTTTCCTTGGGTTTAACCAGACCTTGGCTGGAAGGCAGACACCGAAACATAGCACAACCCTTGGTGCAGGGCATATGGGAGGCTCAGGCAAGATGAGTAAGGCAGAAGCTGCAGCCTTACACTGCACTGTAAGCTTGGGGCCCTTCAGGCAGTGGGGGAAGCTATACAATTCCCCAGTCAGGTAACTGACTCTCCAGCTGGGAAGTTGGAGAAAAGCTGAGTCTTGCTTTCTTTGAATGACTCTGGATGGGACCTGGGAAGATGTCTTGGCTGATGCCTGGATTCTGATTCTGGAGTTGTGGCTGTGCTTTTCCTTCATAGACTGTAGACAGACCATGCTTTCAACTCATATGAGATAGCTTTATGTGCATGGTGTCAAAAGCATGAACCAGCACAGTTTTCTAGAATGCTGAGGGGATCTCCTGAGCATCTTACACAACCATTGGTGATTGATACTGAACTCAGAATAGAATCCTATCAGATGTTCATTGAAGCAGAATTTGCGAAGTCAGGGTAATTCATCTCCTGTGCTTTATCTGGTTCACAAATGTCCTTGTCAGGTCTTTCACAAGAGTGTAGGACAGAATGACCTTGAATCAAATGTCTTCATGGGGGCTCCCTCTGGGATTAGGACGCAAGGTGGACATGGTTTAGAAACATGGACAGCCATTGGCCTGGTAGGCTGCCGTGGGAGAGGAAGCCTCTTGCTAATAAGCTCCTGAACAGGTCATCTTACTGCATACAGAGCTGATGGATTCATCAACGTCTAAACATTAAACATAACAAATGTACAACAGTTAAGGCAAAAAATGGTAGAACAGTATAGCAAATAGAAAGATAATCACAAGATTTCATGCAAATCAGGATTTTCTAAAAG